GAAATAAGAAAGTGAGAATTGCCCTCAAGAGATTCCTATGGAAACTATGCAAGGACAAATGGTCGTGCAGGATGCCTGTTATCAGTAGAGTCAAAACCGCAAATGTATCTGTGCCAAATTAGGAGAGTAACCGTGCATTGTACAAAATGATATAAAAGAGCGATGATTAGAATAAAGTGTGGCATTAGCAGCMTTCAGATMGATGCGTATGCTTTGTCCGAAGCTTCGCCAGGTGCCGCAACACAGCCCGCACCTTCCACTTGCTGAGGACCACCTGGAGGGCAGTCCTCAYGTATATGACTGTGCTGCTTAATGAGGTAGCAATCAGTCCTGAAGTCACCCTAGTGAGAGTGTCACTTCTCTGGTATTCCAACAATGTGGCACTCCTCTGACAGCTCCTGTATCTCCATCATCTCCTATCCATGCCCCAGGCTGCATGCTTTTGTGTATATTTAGGCTGTAGAGCATCAGTTGTGGCACAGAGTGCAGACTGGTCATGGTGAAACCTGTTAAAAGCCAAGAACACCAGGTGTACAATGGTCCTGCTTCAGAGCAGGGACATGCTGGCCTAGAGAGCAGGGGGCAGCATAAGGGAGAAATGAGGTTCCCACTAAGAGCACACTGTGTGTGGCAGCCAAGGCCAGACATCCACATACGGTCATTTATGGAACATCTCCTCCAGTGTGCCATCTCTAAGCAAGAGAAGGATAAGAAGGTGATCAGGAGTAGTCACCATGAATTCACTAGGAGGAAGTCATGCTTAACAGATATGATAGCATTCTATGATGGAATGACCGGCTATAGCAGGGGATAATTGCCTGTTTTCTACCTTAACTTTGGCAAGGCTTTCGACACCGTCTCCCTCGTAGAGAATCTCAAGAAGCATGAGTCAAATTGAGGTGAATTGAAATGCGGCTAAGTGGCAGAGCTCAGAGGTTTATGATCAGCAGTGCAGAGTCCAGTTGGCAGCTTGTAGCTGTGATGGAGACCAACCTGACTTTTCACAGGTAGCTCTATTCAGGTGTTACCCGCCAGTGACATTATCTGCTTCTGGTGGTTGCCTGGGATCCCTTCCCCCATTCACCCAATAATCAGCAATAACAGCCCTGATGGCTGCATTCTGACAGGGAGATAAGGGATAATTGAGCACACACCAGTGCAAATTGGGCTGAAATGAAAGAATGACTCTAAGTCAAATATCCCATAAATATGGGGAGAGCCTGAGACGCCACTCCTAGCCCAGCAGTGGTCTGCACACCAGGTTCCCTGTGTGAGCAGGGACACCGCTCAAGGATACTCCTC